TCCAGTGCCAAGGGTCTGGGGTTGTTTTTTTTTCCTTTCTTTCTGGGGTTGTTGTTTTTTGTTGTTGTTGTTTGTTGTTGTTTTTTGGGGGGGGCACTAAATTATTACCATTACTGTGTTGAGATGGCTTTCTTTGCTCGAACAAACAAATAGCAGTGTAATAAAAAGTTTATGATATTATGTAAGAAAGGTTTGTTGGATTTGTTTGGGGTTTGGTTTTTTATTCAGGAGGGGGGTTGTTGTTTTTCGTTTTTGTGTGTGTGTGTTGGGGGTATTTTGACACCCCCAAAGACACAATTTATATCATTTAGGGAACAGGCACCCGGTCCCGCCTGCAAAGGCCAACCCAGCCTGGAGACAACATTCCAGCAGAAAGATCGAAATAGTCGATCAAAATCCTCTCCCCATTTGGGAAGCTAGATTTAATTGCGATATCCTACGAGCGACAGCGATGTGCCCATCCTCTAGATCTACACCACAGACGCCGTCATTATGTTACGTGTAGTTTAAAACATTGATTTAAAAGGATATTAGCATTAGTGGGTGGTTGGCAGGTGCTCTGGTGTGGTTTGCTTCTTCTTTCCTATCAAACATTTATCGTCTTTATCTCCCCTTTTTCTTTTTTGTGTTTATTCCTCTCTTGAAACACCTCTAATCTTCGGCACTTATATGACCTTATTATGTACAGTAAAACACTTACTAAAACTCTTTTTGTATACAGGATATTACGAAAGAATATGAACAATAATTCTGCTTTGATCAGGCCTTGGCCCGGTTGTATCGGAACTGGACCTGAGAGGACACAAAGTCTTCCCCAAGACTTTCTTCTCCATGCTCATTCCTGAAGTGCGTGCTGAGCTGGACAAACACAAAGGTAAGTCGTAGCCAACATCACAAGCTGGATTATAATGGAAAGTGAAACAAGTGTAGGTGGGGTAGGGGGCGAACAGAGAATGATCCCGTATAGATAGATAGATAGATTCACATTTGAATTCGACAAATTTATAGAGCCATGAGAATGTCAATAGGTGGATGTTTAATAAATGTGGCTTAAGCGCTACTATGTTATTTCTGTTACTTTAACATTTGGACACAAAAATCAGGACCTAAGGTGACATCCGCTGGTTGAAATAGCCACTGCGCGTCTTCGACCTCCTAGAGTTCACTAAAGTGTGTTTTGTCGATCTGGGATCTGTACTCACACCTTGCAAATGGCTGAAGCCAATTGAGGAGCTGTCAGTGGTCGTGATTGCAGCTGGTTGAGCAGCCTCTGGATAGCGTCCTAAACATGCTTGATTGCTGTTTTGGTCAGGTGAACAAGCAGATAGAGCAAAAGATTGATTATATTGATCTGCCCTAGTAACGGCTGTGTCATACGGGCAGTATGAGGTCTCGCATTGACTTGCTGGAAAAAGAAATTTAGATGCCTCTAGAAAAAAGGGCACCACATGAGGCTGAAGATTTTTTTCAATGTAGCGCTGAGCTGTAACCCAATGTTCTTGTCCATGACCCACTTTCTTGAAAAAGACTTGTTCATTTCGTTGATTTAGAGTTATGACTCCCCCAAATCGTGGCGTCGGTGGCCTAGTGGTTAGGCTCTCGGACTCGCAACCGTAAGGTCGTGGGTTCAAATCCCATCAGGGGCCCGACGTTGTGTCCTTG